GTGTAGTGTCAGTGTGATGGAGAAGAAATCTTGGCTAAAACACGAGTATAGTGTTGGGGTCCCAGGAAAAAAAAAAAGGATTCTGTGAAAGTTGGAACCCCATAATTTCACATTACCTCGAACTTTGAATCAGAAAGGAACAAAATGAGGAATCTCACTCTGGACTGTACAAACATAAACTACGCTCTGAAACAGCCCATTCGGTTGCTGTGTGATTGTTCACCCTACCTAAGGGGAAACAAACCAATTAGGACAACCTGAGGGTATATCAACAGTTCAAACAGAGTGGGGAGAGCCTGATTTGTGGTTCTAAACCATGCTATTAAAAGATTTATTTTAGCCATCTACTAGTGAGCTTGAAGGCCGATACGAAGGTTCTGGTGACAGAGCAGTAATCAGCTTTGCTTCTATCATCCTACCTCAGGAACAAAAGTCGTGCATCAGGGATTCTTTCAAAGCAAATTTTAAACCAGCTATCTCTGCTAATGACTATCCCAGGTCAGTCCTGTACTGTTTTAGTCCTGTGAGGAATACTTACTCAAGGAAGTTTTCCCATCACCTTCCATTAAGTCAATGAGTAAAAGCTGTTGGGTAAGATTTGGTGCTATCAAGTAATTCCATCTGAATTATTAATTAAATTCCAGTGCACTAAAGATGATAACGATAAAACATGAAGTGTTTTGCTTCCTAATTAATCTGGCTGTATCACTTGTTACAGTACTTCATGTCATGTGTTTGGAGCACATTTAGCCCTGATTTCTGGTGACTTTAACTTTTCTTAGGCCCCTATTTTAACTGCTGCTACTATAAAGGAAACACACTGAGATTCCTGAGCTCCTCTTATTGGCAAGTGAAATTGTGCATAGATGCTGGATCATTCAAGCTCTACCTTTTTTGTTAAAGCAGACGGAAGGCCTTGATACCTTTGTTGAAAGCAAGAAGCAGCGCCTGGAGGACCCTTCAGCTTCGTGCCTGCTCCCACCTTGTATCTCTCCAATACCGAATCACAGATTAACCAGCACTAAAGAGTAAGTTCTTTTTTTGCACATGGTACTCATGAGGGATTTCACAGTATTGTTCTACAAATATCGTTGCTGTAGAGCCAGATGGGCTTTATAGCCCATAAGCATAAGTGACCCAGCATTGCTATTCCCATCCATCAGGAAGAGGATCCACATGGTTTTGGATGAGATTCATCTGTCCTGCTGATGTACTACAGGAACTTAGAGTGCCACCACAACCCTGGTGTACTCTTCTACCCCCATACTGCATCCTTTCAGCATTCTTCATTGGCCCCATCATCTGTAACCTCTACGGCCAGAGAATCCTACTAGAAGTGGGCTTTATTTGACTGCCTGGGATTTATTTTTTTAAATCATTTTTGTAAGAGAGAGTTCTCAGTTTTATTGAACAAAATAGGGACTTTGCTGGTCACTTCGGCAGCTCTTATTCTTTAACTGTGTATACAGCAATGCCAGGAGTGACTATCCTAAATGTTTCAGATATACATGATTTGTATTTCAGCAAACAAATAGTTTGTGCCTTGTGCCTTTCAGAGTGTCTTTGAGAGATGGCTATAATGCTTGAGCAAACAAGCACCACGTAAATAATGATTCTGATTAGTGTAATCACAAGATTAACATTCTATAAATAACCAGAGTCCAATTCCCTTCTGTCATCAATTTTGTGCTTTTACAATTTTAAGATGAGGCAAAGAATCAAACCCACAATGTGCTTCTGAAAACAATTTGATTGTAGTAATATTTAAATTTAGATGAAGTTAAAAAATCATTTATGAAATAGCACACAAATTTTAAAATACATAATGAATGTTGAGCATTATTTTATTTATACTGGTGTAATTACGGAGTAACTTCAGCCCTTGAACTAAGCCTTCATTCTACCACTGAGAAAAGCAGAGTTGGAGCCTGGAAAAAGCAGAGGAGTTGAAAGTTGCAATGGGATCTGTAACATGTTGCACATTTAATAAACATCATAATGGGTGTTGCCTGATTGTCATTGCTAGAAATACAATAAGCAGAGATGTATTGCAGAGGGAATCAAGGATTATCCATCCTCAACACCTCCACAATCCGTTAAAAAAATCTTTCTATTCTTGTTGCCAGGAAGCCCTAAGGATCCACCCCCAACCTGATGTTTCTTAATTTGAGCTTGTTTTCCAGGTCATTAATTTGATTCCTCAGAGCTTTCAAGCCTTTGGTATTCTCTGTTAAAATATAATTGTGTCCATCAGTAGTTATTTCCATGTGGTAGCTTTTCCTCGTCTGCCTCAAGTTTTGAAACAAGATTTTCTAACTTTTTTTCCTCTGCAGTGAGTGAGACTTTGTTATAACTGCATTTGTTATTAGTGTCTTCTGAGTTCACTTGAAACAAACACAGTATTGTTTGATAATTCACAACTCCCAGAGATGTGCAACTGATTATAGATCAACGTATTTCCCAAAAGATGAGGGAGCTGGCTGAACTGTGTGATGACAAAATTCTGGAGAGCCCCAGATTGTTTTTAAGCAGTCAGGAGTGGTTCTGTTCTCCAGAGGGTGAAGCCGAGTTTTAAGAGGGGGCAGAAGTAATGGGAAGCTGAAGTACATTGTCCAAGGGTATGAGGGGAAAGAACACTTCAGTGGTAAAAGGTTGAAAGACAGGCTTTGCCATTTGCTCCTTTATTCCCAAAGGTTCTGAGTTGTCTTTCAGAACTCCTAAGTCTCTGCATAAGGACTTTGAGAAATGAGGGTGATTCAGCTACAGGTGTGACAGTGACGTTCACCTTTTAAGAAGGTGTTATGTCCCATGGTGGATGTTCTCACTTGGGAGGAACCTTAGGTCTCTCCCATTAGAACCTGATGCCTGTGCCAACAAGCCAAGTTCCCCAAGGCAGACTTCAGAGACTTTCATTGGGCTTTTTTATAGGTACAAGAGTGTTTTGACAGAAAGACCATGATCTCTGTGCCAAAATTTGGAGGCATTCACAAGTCTGGAGGAACCAGTGAAAGCTAGGCCACAACTGCTTTTGCAGCTCCCACTAGCTGCCTGTATATGTTTTGGGCATTTGAATATATTTCTCTTATCATCTTTCTCCTAAATATATGGGCTCAATAAAGCAAGCAAGGGTGCACAATTAATTTTTAAGGGGTTACATGTCTAATAAGGGCAGTTATATGCCTAATTTCCACAAGTTTCTGTGACTACCTGTACAAATTGAGTGTAGAAATTTCAAATAGTTGTGAACTTAAAGGCCTTTTGCACAACCAAAGAGACAGTTTCTATTATGTAGTCACTGCATAAGCAACTAGATACTTCTCTACGTGTTCCTTCTCTCAGATGCTCTGGGGCTGATTGCTTTTCCTAAATCTCACATGACACTTAAAATACAGTTATTCAAACTATTGCCACTGTATTTTGCTGATTTCTGATATTTCATAGCAAATGAAGGAATAGATGATACTGAGTTTTGTCTAAGTGATTCATAGTAATACCCTTGAAACACTGCTTTGAGGCTGGATTTTTGCCAGATCAGCAGCCACTTTGCAGCAGAGGATTATTTACGTATTTACCTGCTTGCCAAAGCCATTTTAATTTAAGCATTAATTGTATGTTTACATATGGCTGCTGTATGCCATTTTTATCTGAATCCCTCACTGGTAGACCTAGTCCAGACAGAGCACTGTTCGCCAACATTTAGCAGTTTGTAACAACACAGGGAGTTGTTTGCTGATGCAGACTGTGAGTCTGAATTTAAGACTAGACTCATACAAGTGAAACATGCCTAACACGCTAGGAGTCTGTCTGAGGCAAGCATTTCAGCCTGTTCTTCAGGATCTCCTGTTCCCTTTGTTTGACCTTTAGCTAAAGATGCGCCTGTACTTGGCAAGGTATGTTAGCCAATCCCATGGGTAGTCACAACAGCGTTCGCTGGGCTTCGTTCACGGCAGAAGCATAGCCTTCTACATCTATGCCAGTGACTTCAGCTTCATTCACTTGCTGCCATGTGGTCCAGGCTAACGTGGGAGTGACCTTTCCCTGCTAACCCCCTGCAGAAAATCAGATACACCCTCAACGCGCAGCATCTCATTGTGGACAGGGAGAGCAGAGGCAAAGGAAAGCCAAGTGATTGCTATAGACAATGACTTTGGCTCACTAATAGGCCGGAGATGCCACTGCATACCTCAAGGAGTGGATAAAGAAAGGGCAAAGAAAGGCAGCTTGGAATGTGAGAGTGGATGGAAATTCTCTCTCCACACACTGATCCCTTGTTGCCTGCTTGCTTGTTTGCTGCCCTAAAATAAACCAGACTGGGAAAAAAAAAAAAAAAAAAGCAGATGGGGAGCCTTCTCGTTCCTGATAATTGGCCTTTTCAGACACAAAGATTAAACCCTGCAGCCACAAGACCATCAGTTCTGCTTGTATTTTTTCCTTGAATTTTTATTGTGTTTCTCCCTAGATTTTAAACATACTTTAACTAACAATCATGTCAGCAAATTAAAACATTGAGTCTCAGTAATTATTGCAATAAATTAATTCAAAATTAGTGATTACTGCAATCAAAGACCAGTTTCTTAGCCCATTAACAGCCCAAAGCAAAGTGACAATCTGGTTAACTGCTGGTAACAACCTATTTCATGGAGGTTATTGTTAACATAAATGCTTTGGCGTAAATCTGAGGGAGGGAACATTGCTAAATAAATTATCAGCTTAATTCCTGGGAAAACTCATAGGATTGAGCAGGCAATAGGTAAGGGGAAAAAAAAAACCCAAAATGTATTGTTGTTGATTTTTTAATTTGAATTATGTCAGGAAAAAAACCAACCAAACCTCAAGTGCATTTTCCTTGGTGGTTAAGTCTTCCCACACACAGAATGCCTTGTGTGCCAGAACTGAGTAGCTGCACCTCTGTCGTGCTTGCTCCATTTTATACTTGAGCCCAAAGATGAAGCGAACTGGGGAAGTTTTAAGGAGCATGTTTTAACCATGATAACTGCAGCCTTCTTAATTTTCTCTTGTACTATGCCCTTAATCCTTCCACCTCCGAGTAGCGACTGAGGAATGTTGCTTCAATTGCTTTATATGTGCCTTAAATTTCCTCAGGCAGTGGCTGACGCTGTGCAAGGGACAGTGTCCAGCATTATCCCTGGAAATAGGCACAGATGTGACGAGGAACTTCACTAGTGGTACAGGCTCAGATCCTAAAGGAGACTTGGCCAATGCCTCACGTTCAGGTTTTCTTCAGATGCTTTTGAAATACATCTTTGCTCTTCCCTTTGCAACTCTGTACCGCGGAGAAAGAAGAGGTCCCCAGCCCTCTGTGCGCAGGAGAGTGGAGAACCACTTTGCTCTGTTCTCCCACCCATAAATGCATGTTCAGAGTTCCCTTTGTAGGACACTCCTTCGGGAGTCAGAGGGTTTGGATTCTGCTCCTGGGTATTTCATTAACTGTGTCAGCTTTGCCTCTGTACAGTCTAATAACAAACACATGCATGCTTTCTTGGGGCAGTGCTTACTCTCCTTCGGAAAACTTGCCTCTGGAAAAGGTTCGGTATTGTTGTGCTATAGCTATGGTAACTTGTCTTAGTTCCAAAATGACCGCCGGGGGTCAAAAAGCTAACAGATACAGCTTTGAGTGGGAACTTTTTGGAGGACATGTTGCAGGACCACATGTGCAGAAAATCAGTCTCCTCAAAGAACTTCCAGTCTCTTCCAACCTGGCTGCTTTCCTTTGATCTTCAGGCCAATGTGGTTTCTGAGCAGGACAGCATCTAGACCAGTCCTACTGTAAGGCAATATGAATTCTGTGCTTGTTTTATTTCTTCAGTCTGAAGGTCTTTAATATCACAGCATTTCAAATAAGCTATTTTTTAACTCTGCTTCAGTTGAATTCAGATAGTTCAGAGTAGAAGAGCTATAAAACCTGAAACATGGTGAGTTTGTTTGATTTCACTCTGTAATAATATAATATTTTTGTATCACCGAAGGCCCAGTGTAGGGGAATGACCCAAGCAGGTGTAGGTATTGATGCTGTTGGTGAAACTTCAAAGAGGCCAGACTGGGATGAGAAAGCTCCAGAATGAGGAGTAAGGAAACTTGGACTGCCTTCTCCTCTATCCCTGATTACTTTAAGGCGAAGTAAATCTATAATTTCTGACACTGACTGAAAGTGACTTGGAACAAAACATAAATCCTTGTTGACTTAATTTGTTATTGAAATTTTAGTCAATAGTCATGAAATTAAATGATCATGTAGTGCACTATTAGATGTCTAAGAAAAGATTAAAATTAAGGTTATCTTCATTGACTGAGCTAGGACAATACCTAAGATAAAAATCTATGAGTAGATTAACATGTTAAACAGTCAGGGGGGTGTTGGGCTTTGGGATTTTTCTTTCTTGATGGATTTGAGGGGAGAAAGGTCTAAGCAGGTTTTTTACGTTTTACTGTGTATCACAGCTGCCATTTCTAGCCAGCTAACAATTTCTGTACATAAAACAGACAATGGATTATCATATTACTTGAGCTTTCATGTCAAAACCACATTCATTTTCTGAATCACGTTCAATTCATCAACCAATATTTGCTCAAGGGCTTTTGCCAGCTACACTGTATCATTTTAATACAGTGTTGAACATTGGTTTTATTTTAGAGGTCAAATAATTATTATCTTGTTATTGTGGTTATCATTTTGTAGTTATAAATTTTTTTTGGTTCACATGCCATGTGCTATTATGTTTTTTTGCAAAGGTTGCTTATGTGGGCCCTAATCCACCCCTTAAAAAGATGCTTAACATTAAACACATAAATAGTGTTAAACGTTAAACACATCAAATACTTGATGTCAAAGGAACTAACCCCATGCATAAAACTTTCCAGCACTTTGCTGAGTCAGAACCTCTATGACCTCTCAAATGAAGACTGACTCTAATTAGCATTTAAATTGCATGCAGTTTGTACTAATGCACTGGAAGCTGTCCTCCAAAGCAAGAGGTTTTCTGCAGCCACTGAAAAGGCTGAGGTAGCTCTTCTGTTTTCTCTGTCTGTCCCCTTTTGACTTATCTCCCAGGAGACATGGGGACTGCAGGACATATCTGAGGGTAGAGCTGGCTTCTCAGTAAATAAAATCTAGAGCTTTGTGCTATGGAGGATTAATCAAGGCTCTTGAAATGCAACTGGTTCTTATCTCTGTCCCAGGAACAGCGGTAGCTCAGTGAAGAAGGTGGCAAAGAAAAGAGAAGAGAAGCTGTTCCCTCCTCCATTATCCCCACTCTTGGATGAACCTGTGCACCGGCGGCACAGCAGTGACAACAGCTCTTTCAGCCAAGAGACCAACATCACAAACGCCTCTCAGACCAGCAGCTCTTCCTCCTCTGTTTCTAAACACAGAAAGAATGAAAATAAATCCTCTTCTAACCCCAAAGGAATCTGTGTAAGTAAACGACCTCGCTTGCTGGAAGTGAACAAGATAAAATAAAATTAACTTAGCTTTGTTCTGTTTGATTTTTGGTTTTCCCAGTATCTATTTTTAAATGCTTACGTAGCCCCACTCGAGAGCAGCGAGGAGTGGACCTTTGCAGAGCTGGGCATGAGCACATCTTGCAAGTTCCATTGTTGGGTCAGCACTAGGCATCTACTGCGTTGTGTGTCGCTCCCTGAAACACCCAGTCCCTGAGCCTGAGGAGAGCCTTTGCAGCCACCAGCTAGCTGCAATTAGTCCCTTTACTTTGTAGCTACAACATACTCATTATAAAAATAGAACTTCAAGAATTTTGGTATCCATCACCTGAATTATCAAATTCTCAGCCAGAATTATGGAACTTCAAGAATTTTGGTATCCATCATCTGAATTATCATCAAATTCTCAGCCAGAATTATGCTCTGTAGTTATATTGAATATTGCAGCCTAAACTAAACAGACAATAAAAATCTAACAAAAAGCTACCTGTCCATAGCACACACAATGTGGCAGTATCTTCTACCAGGTTCTCAGGCTCCCAGCTTCCACCAATAAGGTTTCTTTACACCTAATCTCCATTAATTACATACATAAGCTTTTAGATACCGTTTAAATGGTTTGGGTTGTTTAAAGCCATCCTGTTAAAGCCATCTCCTCATCAGAAGATTTTACATAGGCAATTCGTGCGTATTTGCTGATCACCAGATTCAGGTCTTTTTTTATTGAAAATACATAAAGAAGAGCCCAAACTACGAGCTGCAAAAAAGTAACATTTCACATCAGTTTGTCATCCTCTTTTAGGTTAAACAGGGAGACTTTAGGTTTTTGGCCTATTTTAGACAATAGTCCTCCCTCTAGAGTTTCAAATATGTCATTTGGTAGCAAACCTATATCACTGTCAAAATTAAAAGACAAGAAGAAAATTCTGCCTCAGAAAAGGACGTGCATAGCCCCATTTTCGCAGTTCGCCACTTTGTGAGAGGTTGTTCGCCTGCACTGTCATAGTAAAACTCACAAGTTGCATTGGATCATAGGTGACAAATCACTTCACCTTATCCATTCATCCCTGTTGCTTTCTGATATCACTGTGTCACTTCAAGCTGCGAGAATAATACACACGCCTTCAACTGAAATCAATGCCAAATTGAACTGCATATGTCAGCAAATAAACAATGCTGTGTAAACAGCAGGGCCACTTCCTCTCACTCCCAGCATTTCTAGTCAGATTTATCCTTGGTTTATCTATTATCCTCATACATGACATATTTGTCTTCTAAAATGTGCTAGACTTCTTTTCCTGGTTCGTTGGTTCACCGGTAACTTGGTTTATCTGGTTGTGGACCTAGCTTGCAAGTTGCAATTGCCTGATTTAAATGCTCCTGTTATGCTTCTGATTTTAATTAATGCAAAGTCACAAGTCCTGACTCCTGCTTTCCATTCTTCTCTCTGCTCTGTGTAGAAATGGTGAGAAAACCGTTCCTTGCTGAAATCCAAGCAGACTTTTCAGGTGTCTTACAGTTACCTAATAATAGTGTAGAAAAAAGGTCACATCAGTGTGATGCACCTTGAATGAAACTGAGTTCACATCCAGGCCTTCTGCCTGGCATCCCCCTGCCTCCGGCTTTAAACAGTGACACCGAGCTGTCCAGGCTGGCGTTACCTGAGAGGGCAAGTTAATAGTTCAGGTGAGGGGTCAGACTCACACTGCCTAGTTGATCTATCAGTCTTGTATTACAGAGGGTGGAATGGAACCTGGTTTTGTGCGGTAACCTGGATGCAGTTGGGTATATATGAGTGCTACTTTGTGCGTTAACTTTTTGTTTTGTTTGGGGTTATTTTGCAGGGATGGATGCGAGCACTTAACGCTGTTGGAAGGTGTTTGTTTGAACTATGAAGAGTTAATAACAGTCCTTTTTTTCTAGGAGGAAGAATCTCACAACACACCAACAGCCAACACTCTTCTTGACACCAGCCATCTAGAAACAGACATCTGGTCTGCAATGCCAATGCTCTCCAATGGGAATTCTGAGCCCAGAAGACCCAAAATAACATTTGATGATGTGTAAGTATTACTGGATCTCTGTGCTAGCTGGGATTTCCATGCAAGCCGAGCTCCCAGTGAAAGGGAGTGTCTTTGGTTATAAAGCTAGCACTGGGCACCTCTGTGGGTAGTGCTGCACAAAGGCACACACAGTTTTAATCTTTACAAATGAACTGTTGTCTCTGATTAATGAAGACTCTGTTGATAAATGTTTTCCGGTCATGAATGTTGGTTCACGGTAATTCTTCATTTTTTTATTTTAGCTCCTCTAATGGAAACCTCTTATACTTAATTAGTTTAAAATATTTTTCCTTTTCCTCTGTTCAGCACACATTAATGGGCCCTTTGGGTGGCCGGTTTCTACAGCTAGTTATTTTACATTCTGGTCACCCATCATATCTTTGCATACAGCAGCTTCAGATTAATATCAAGTTAAGATTTAAAGAGATAAGTGGGTGTATATGTTGAAATTGTTCTTGGAAGCAGTGAGCAATTTTCTCAAACAATGTTTTTCCAACTGTATGAAAACAAAGACTTGAAATAATTGATTCTGTCTCTTTAGGCTTCACAATGCAGATTATTACATGCAAGAGGCTAAGAAGCTAAAGCATAAAGCAGATGCACTGGTAGGTTATCACAAGGATTTTTGTCTCTTTCCAATATGGAGCTGGGTGTTACAAAAATTTACATACTGGATGTCATCTAAAGCCTCAGAAACCAAGAGGAACACTGCTGTTGACTAAAGTATGCTTCAGATTGTACTACATAAACACACTGTCCACTACAAGTTAAACCCTGAGCACCATTCCTAGCCTTTAACAATTAATTCCCCAGAAAAGAAGGTCCTTAAAATAGCTGGTGTCTCTTATGATGAGGAGCAACAGTCATGCTGTTTATGAAGGATATAAGATAATTTCATGAAAGATGGTGTGTATTTGGAATTTATTCTCCTAGTCACTTTGAGTCTAAAACAAAAGTGTTGAAATACTCCATAACAGAAAGTTAAGAAAGGCAAATCACCCTCCACCCCATTATCATGTGGTAAAACTGTTTGATATTTCCAATCCAATTGTCTGAAATTTGCAACAATTGATTTTTAAATAGTACATTCATTTTTATTGCATGTTTTTAGGCTGGTAAATAAAGACTCAACATGCTTCTTCCCAAAACATCTTGCAATGAGGTAGTTCAATGCTGGGAAAGCTTTTCCTCTCATTTTACCCCAGATGAAATTCCATTTGTTCAATCCCAGTTATTGCTAGCATTGAAGCGCCTTTAATAGCCATGTGCTTTGTAGGTGGAGTCTTTGCTTCTGGACACTACACAGAGTGCAGAACAGCAGTTCGTTTAGTGGAACTTGACTCTCTTTAAACAGATCTAGAATGGAGTGTGACCGTTCACTTTGCCCTTCAAAATCACAGCTGAAAAAGAACTGGGTGGTAATAAACCTCTCGCTCGATTTTTTGTTGGTGTTTTGTATGCATATTAAATCATTCCACATGAGATTTTGTACTTGGGAACAAGTATTTGTCCACAATCCCAAAACATACTATGTTTTTAACAAACAAAATGATTTTTTAAAAAATAGCTCTCCCTCTGCTGTCAGTGAGCTGAAGGAGAGTTGACATGTCAAGCTGCCTGCCTCAGCTCTCCAAATCTCTTTTGATTTGGGGCCCACAGTGTTACCAAACGTGCTTTCTGTGGAAGGTGTGTTCAGGTTTTTGGCAACCTGCAGCTAGTTAGCAGGCGTCCCTCCTGACCTGCCCGTTTACGGGAGATGGCCTACACTGATTCCTGCAGCCCAACTGAGCCGAGCATGTTCAGCTAGAGCCCTGACATCTGCACGTGGGAAAGGCTGGCAGAAGCAGACTGACAACACCTCCCACAGCTGACTGACCTTTAAAGAAAATACACATGGTTCTGGCACAGGGATGCCTGCTCTGCGCTAGCAAATATTTACAGGCTCAGGCTCCCGATGATCTCAACATGCTGTGTCAATCCACTTCCCTCCGCAGCCTGATGCACTCAGAGTGTTGACCTGTCTCCTGTCCTCTTACCCTTGACTCTGCCTTGCAGACCCAGGGGCGTTTCTCAAGCAGAACTAAGAGGAGGCGGCACAGCGCATCCTGCTGCTGCCTGCAGGCACACCTTGCCTGTCACATGCAGTTTGACACCCCGAGTGCTCTTCGCGGAATGTGAGGCCATCCGCTGCCGTACAACTTGTTGGCAGACATACGCACCCATGAACAAAGTATCTGGTTTTTCTTTCCACTACTTAGGTCTCAACTTTTTTTTTTCCCCACCCCATACAGCTGCACACAAATTGTCTCCATGTAACACGTTTGCTGTGCAATGCCGTAGTGTTAGTTGTCCTGTGGAAACCATTGCTCCTGGTTACCTGCTGCTGACATGACAAAGCCCACGCGGCACTGAAAGATGTGTTGCAGGGGCTAGAAAGATAATGCATGTGACCTCAAAATGTGTCAGCAGATGTGAATGAGATTTGTGGCAATGCTGTTCCTGAGCTGGTACAGAAGATGGATTTCTGGTGAAGGGCAGGGCATTCTGCACCTTATGGGAATGACCCCATGAAAACCTATCCCTGTCTGGGACGGCAGTTGGGAATTTGGGTGGGCTGACTGTACCATGTGGAAGAGATCATGGAGGCCTCATTCTGTTCTCAGCTGAGCTGGAGTAATTCCACCTACACCACTAGAATCAGCATGGAGCAAAGGGCAGGATCAGATCCGCTTTTGGCTCAAACTGTGTGTCCATTCTGAATCCGCTTGCAGCCAGATTCCTTTTTTTTATACCACAAAAAGTCATCTTTGGAAGACTTGAAGCAAGGAAATTGAAGAATACGCTGAGGAGTGGTGATTGGAATAGAGAGAAAATGTTTAGAATTCCCCTTTTGTGATCAATCAAGTAATGTCTATGAAGTATAGAAAGGCCTTGTACATAATCAGTGCAGAAGAGCAGAACTTGAAATTAAACATATGCAGGTAGAGGTAGTCATAAGGATTGCTTAGAAGTAGCCACAGAGGCAAACATAATATTACCTTGGACGAATGCTACATGTTCCAGTTAAGATGTTGCTAGGATAAGCTTTGTGAATGGAAAACATACGCAGGTGCATCAAAAATATTTTGATAGAGACATACAAAGAAATTTTTAAATTATTTAAAGTATATTGGATCTCTTATCTCAAATGCCACATTAGTAGAAATCTTACATCCAGCTATCAAAAATTGAAAATGTTAAATACTATTATAAAATACTTACTATAAAAATGTCATATATAATATTCATTACACATAAAAAAAGGAATCAGTGTGGCTAAGTCAGTTTAATCACAACCATTATGAGGCCTAAAACCTTTTACAATAAAATCCTAGTAAAATAAAATATTTAGCAGAGCTATATTTTCTTCTTTTTTTTTGCTCTTTTAGTCATCACATAAGTGATGAGATTTTTTTTTTGGTCAACAGTTAACTCAGAATGTGACATCTGACAAATGGAATGAAGTTACTTAACCCTTGCGTAGTGATATTGAAACTTATTCATACATCAAGGAGCAATATGGATTTGTTCAAACGTGCTTAGTGTCCCTCACTGCCTGTATAAGTCCATGTATGTTAAAGGACATACATTGACTTTCCTTTGTGGAGCATCTGGCCCTATACTGCCTGAAAAGATGTGGTAAAACCATAGACCCTGCCTTAATTACTGTATGAATTCATTCTTAACTATGAGTGTCGCTTTGCTTTCATCCTAATGCTAGTGCTGTTTTGTATTATGATCTGTCTACCTAGAAATTAAAGCTGAAGGATTTTCTTAACAGTGTCATTCCCGTTTCAGCTGGAGAAGTTTGGCAAAGCGGTGAATTATGCTGATGCTGCCCTCTCCTTCATTGAGTGCGGGAACGCTATGGAGCGAGATCCATTAGAAGCTAAATCTCCATACACCATGTACTCAGAGACTGTGGAACTCATCAGGTTAATGTCCTTTCTGTGATCATTTTCATAATCTCATTTTAGTCGTAATTAGAACTTGCTATGTTTTAAAAAATACCATTTCAACGTATTAATGATTTGTCCAAGGCATCTTCATCTCAGAAGTCATCATAATTAGTTCTTGCCATTTTATTAATGTCATGGAAAATTTATAATTGATGGACACTGCTTTTATAAATTATCCCCTTTAGAGGTTATAATGTGAGTGTTATAATTTGCAATATTCATAAAATTAAAATTGAAATGTAGTGGGTGGAAGTAAAGCATAGTAATTTCACTGTTTGGCAATGACACTTGTCTTTTAAAAGGTGTAGTTTTATAATTCAAAACATTAAAGCAAGTCTATCAGGATTTCTATTACAAACCCTGTTTTTAGAGGTTTATGACTTGGCTGCTAAAAAAAAAAAAAAAGGTGAAACTTGGCACACAAGATCATAGCCAGAGAGGAAGCTTTCTGCATGTATTGTATTAAAGACTACATTTCTTAATGTTAAAGGAATGTGAACCAGCTGAATTAGTTTTAATACAGTTTTGTAGACTCGTAGGCTAGAATATGCGTGACAGCACCTTTATTTACTAATGAAATGTCTGAATTATTATGTTAAAATCCACTACTGTTCCCTATAGCTGTTTTAGTGTTGGTTCCACAGAAATAGTGGTCTCCTGAGTAACTAAGGGCTTCTTTGCTTTACTTGCACAAATTATCAAAGTGAAATCAAGCAGGATTAAAGTTATCTGGTAGTAGAATAACAGTATTTTTCCTCTTCACTGTGATGCACCTTTGCTTTCCCCAGCGTATGCTGGGAATGTCACCATTATTGTCAGCGTAGTTATGGCAGTTTACACAAGAGAAAGAAAAGGAGGCAAATCAGGCCCTAAGTGTTTGGGTTTTAATATGACAAAGGTGGGTTTTTTAACATGAAGGATTTTAACATGTCAGATTAGCGATTAGAGACTGTCAAAAAACCCCATGTTTTACATTTTGAATAAGTAGGTATTTACATAATAAAATGTATCCAATCTTATGAAGCTCTTACTCTCAGTAAATAATATGTCTGCTTAAATATTTAAAAACGTGTTTTTACATTCTACTCTTCATAAAGAGAAGAATAAAATCTAAAGAGATTACTCAACAGACAGATGATGTTCACTCAACACTTAGGGCCCAAGTTAAACCCTCAAGAGCAGAAGACTTAGGAAAAGGAGCCGCCTACCTCTGCTCCATGGTGCTGAAACTCTTCCTGCGCTCCGGCACGGGCAGTTCAGTACGCTGTGTCCCGAACTGCACAACTAGAGTTGTATGGAGGGTAAATGCTATTTAAAGAAATACTCTTTAAAGAAGTGAGTGCTTCTTCATAGGCCCCTACACTTATTTTATTGGTTAAGAAAACCACGTGGCACAGCTGAAAATGTTCTTCCTCAGTCCAGCAATCTGTCTGTTCAGAAGCGATGGAGCAAAAATCCTCATTCATTCGAGAGCCATGACGTGTGCTCCACTTAACTCCGAGGATGGCAACTCTGCGAGTAGCTCACAAATCATAGAATCATAGAAT